TAATAGCATCTACAAAATGAGTGTTATGTAACTTATCTAAAGATTCTTCTAGCTCTACAATTATCACAAAATTATGTATTGCAAATATTTATAATTTGGCAAGTATTCTTAAAAGTTTGGGGTGGGGAATGAAAAAAAACCACAGGATAAGGAAACAGGATTATTCATGATAAGCCTTGATTGTTTTCTGACTACTTTTGTGTACAAAGTGCTTTGTTGGCTCTACTAAATATTCTTTGATTTCTGGCAGCTATTTTATGTATTCTCAAACAATTGTATTTCTAAGAATTAAGGCGTATGATGATGTTCACAACTTTAAAGTTACTTGAAGAGTAAAAATTACATAATTGCTCCCAGATTTTAACACAGTTTTAATTATAATTGCATTAATTTTTTCACTCTTCTTTCTTCACTTTATTGATAAAGTATGGTAGTCACATAGACTAGGTTAAGCTGCAGTAAGCAAACCTCATATATCCATGGATTAAGAAAACAAAAGTATTTCTGGCTCACTCTAATGAGTTTGTTAACAGTTCTTCTCCACAGAATCATCTTCCTCTGGAACTCAAGCTTATGCCAGTCTGGAGAACACTTTAGTTGCTAGCTGAGCAGCAAAGTGAGAAGAGCTCTGGGAGTCTCATATTGGTAATTGATTGGTCTGTAATGACACAGTCATGTCCATCTACCAATCTTTGATCGGAACAGTTTATATGCCAGGTATGGTGGTACATACCTTTAATTCCAGCACTCAGGAGATAAAAGCCAGTTTAGTCTATGCAGTGAGTTCTAGGACAGTTGGGGGCAAAGGGAGACCCTGTCCTAGACACATAAGAAAGGTGTTAAGTAAATGATTTAGTAATAGGTGTTTGAGAAATTATTATTATTATTATTATTATTATTATTATTATTATTATTATTTTGAGGCAAGGTCTCATGCAATCCAGGCTGAACTCAAACTTACAATATAGTCAAAAATACTTGAAGATGATGTGGAGGATCCTTCCTCCTTTGACTCCCAAGTGCTTGGATTACAGGTGTGCACCATCATGCCCATTGTGTGTTAATTATTTATTCCAATAGTCATACCATAAACAAACAAACAAAACCCGACAAAACTGGGACCCTAAATTGAGTTCACATTTATTCTTCTTGCTGAAACTGCCTGACTCCAGGGGAAGTCATTAAAGAAACTGATATAGTTACATGTTAAGTGTCCATGTACACAGGGATACACAAACACTCACCGAATATTTTATTTATTATTTTTATTTTTATGTGTATTAGAGTACTGCCTGCATGTATGTGAGTGTACCCATGCTGTGCAATGCCTCGGAAGTCAGAAGGGCTTTGGATTCCCCTGGAACTGGAGTTAAGGAGGGTTCGTAGCCGCCATGTGGATGCTGGGAATTGAACCAAGACACAATACATTTCTAAGGAACTAGAGACAGCAATGCTAGCCCAAATTTGAAGCTTAAGGAAAAAAAAAAAATCATTTGCAGGTAGCAGTGACAAGAGCCTGTAATCTCAACATCCAAATCTGGTCACTTGAGCCCAGGAGTTTGAGACCAGTCAGCAACATGACATGACTCGAGAAGAACAAAGAAGAGAAAAAATAAAAGAGGCCGTAACTAAATATAGAGTTGAGGGTCTGTTCTGCATAATTCTTTTTGTTTTGTTTTTCAGTAAATCTATTTTAATTTAATTTTGGGGTATTTCATACAATACATCTTAATCACATTTAAAACCCCCTCCTCTATCTGCACATGCACACACTAGGAGTCAAAGGACAACTCTTAGGAAATCTGGAGTGTGAACTCAAACTGTCAGATCTTTGGGCACATGGCTCTACCTGCTGAGGCACCACATCTCACCAGCTTTAGGGTTTACTCCATTCCTGGATATAATGAAATTTCACCATACTATGTCACAATATGGGCCTTCTTTTTAAAAATATTTCATTTATTATTTTTATTTTACGTGTATGAGTGTATTGTCTGAATGTATGCGAGTGCACCCGTGTTGTGCAATGCCTCGGAGGGCAGAAGAGGGCTTCGGATTCCTCTGGAATTGGAGTTAAGGACAGTTCGTAGCCGCCATGTGGGTGCTGGGAATTGAACCCGGATCCTCTGCAAGAGCAGTTAGTGCTCTTAACTGCTGAGCCATCTCTCCAGCCCCACAATATGGGCCTTCCAACATTCACTTTCATAAATGCTTGAAGGTCATACCCTTTATTTTTAGAAATTTCCATGAAAATCTGTTTTAATTACTTCTTAGTTTCTCCAATGATATTCCACAGTTTTTGTCTACACTATAGTTGTTTCTAAAAAGTTTCCTAGCCTTATTATCTAAGCATTCTATTTGTATATTAAAATGTTTTTATTTAGTTATTTTGTGTGTGTGTGTGTGTGTTTGCCTGCATATATCTAAGTGTACCTGGGCACATAATACCTGGAAGGACAGAAG